GTTGGACACGACTGGACAAAAATTGTCAAGGGGAACCTTTACCTTTACCTAAGGAGATCTGTGATAGAACAAATCAATGCACAAGGAGTGGCCCAGCCTCAATCTCTTGAAGTCTCCCCTCAAAGGCATGATGCAGCAAGAGATATGGATCCCATTTCTTTGTTTGAAGCCCTTGGCAATGGCCATCAGATTAACAACTTCCTAGATTCCGACTGAGGACACAATACTGTGCAAATATATGTCAGCTGAAATGTAGAATTATTTTAGTACCAACCAAGCATTTCATCATTTATTGAATGTTTCCAAAACTGTGCAACTAATAGTACAGTGGTTTCTGTAAACATTCGGGGAGGTGGCTGGCTGATGGTGGTGATGATAATTAACTGTGCATGACGCTCCTGCAAGACGTGGCCTCTTCCTCCGTTTCGTCATCCCACCCCATCTGTTGGGCACTGATAAGGTGGACAGTTTACCAGAAGAATCATACAAGAATATCAGATGTGAGCAAAGAATGTGTGAAGAAAGGAGCCCTGATCCCTTCCTCTTTGCTTCTCCCAATGTCAGGTTGACAAGAACACCAATCCATAGGAAAATGCCTGACAATATTATTATGCTTCTTCAATTATTTCTGGGACGGCTGAACTAAAAGCGGTGGAAACGGGAGCCCTCTTATGGAGAGAATGAAAACAGGAGAAACCCTCAGAACTAGGTTGTATTTGAAGGAAATTTAAACCCTAAGAAGACCCAAGAAACCAGTCAAAAATGCTCCTGAAAAGGTAAGGGAAAATAAGAGAATTGCTGATTCTGCAATGGGTTAGATAGAGAGTTGATTCAACTTCTTTTTAAATACACGAAAGATGTAAAAGGAGGGGCAAGATCTGTTCTCAATCATGGCAGAGTTCAAGAAACATAATAATGAGCTAAAGTTAAGGGAAGCCAGATTCCATTTGAATATCAGGGGGGGAAAATCTTAATTGTTAGAGCAGTACAACAATGGAACCAATTACTGTACCTCAAAAGGTGCCGAGTGCTCTAATGCTGAAGACATCCAAGAGAAATTTAGACAACCACCTGGCAGATATCCTTTGATTTCTATTCCTGCACTGAGCAGGGGGTGGGACTCAATTGATCTTTACTCCTTGTTCTCTAAATTAGTATAATCTATATTTAGGTACTGTGGTGAATAAATCCCAGTTAGTTAGTTAGTTAGTTAGTTAGTTAGTTAGTTAGTTAGTTAGTTAGTTAGTTAGTTAGTTAGTTAGTTAGTTAGTTAGTTAGTTAGTTAGTTAGTTAGTTAGTTAGTTAGTTAGTTAGTTAGTTAGTTAGTTAGTTAGTTAGTTAGTTAGTTAGTTAGTTAGTTAGTTAGTTAGTTAGTTAGTTAGTTAGTTAGTTAGTTAGTTAGTTAGTTAGTTAGTTAGTTAGTTAGTTAGTTAGTTAGTTAGTTAGTTAGTTAGTTAGTTAGTTAGTTTGTTTGTTTGTTTGTTTGTTTGTTTGTTTGTTTGTTTGTTTGTTTGTTTGTATCCTGCCTTTCACCTTGAAAAGGACCCAAGGCAACTTACAAACAATGAAAGACAATATTTAAAACTGAAATGAGTATACAATGGCAGTTAACATCTTTAAAAGAAGCATTTAAAACTATGAACAATGAATAAAGCGGCATCTTACAACATTAACAGGCAATGTTAAGGCAAAGATAAATAAGTATACCAAAAAGTCATTCAGAAATGGAAAACACAACAGTACTAAAAGTGCAGCCAAAGCAAACATGTACTGTATAACTATCTAAAAATCACACACAGTAGCTGGATACTGCGGGAAAGCAGCAAAGATGTGGCCAGTTTGGCCTCCTGTGGGAGGGAGTTCCAGAATCTGGAAGGAGCGACAGAGAAGGCCGTCTCCTGTCTCCTCAGCAAACGCACCTGTGAGGGTGGCAGGACCTCTCCTGATGATCATAACACCCAAGGCAACTCATAATAGGAAATACAGTCTTTGAGATAGCTTGGACCCAGGCTATTTAGGGCTTTACAGGTTAAAACCAGCACGTTAAATTGTGCCTGGTAACTGATCAGCAGCCGGTGGAGCTGCTGTAACAGGGGGGTTTATGGGATCCCTATAATCAGCCTACGTCAGCAATCTGACTGCATTTTGGACCTGTTGAGGTTTCCTGACACATTCCATTGGCAGCCGCACATAGACCACATTACCACATACTTCCCCAACTGGGAAGTAACTAGGGTGTGTATCAGACTAGGGTGTGTATCAGAGTGGCCAGATCAGAACTCTCAAGAAATGGATGTAGCTGGCACACTAGTTTTAATTGTGCAAGTGCACTCCTGGCCACTGCCAAGACCTGGGCATCCAGACATAGGGATGAATCCAGGAGGATCCTCAAACTGCGCACCTGTTTTTTGCAATGGGAGTTTAATCCCATCCAGTACTGTCTGACCGACCGGCTGGAGACATGGCTATACAGGTAGGCCTTCCCTACAAGCCATCACCTAGCCTATCTTTCCTTTTTCCTCTTCTTTTTTCCCCATCTTGGATTCTGCTGTTAATTTGGGTCTTATTCTTAGTACATTTATACTTTCATAGTTTATTTTATATCTTTTGTGTAAACCGCCCAGAGTAGACACGTTCCAGATGGGCGGTATATAAGTTTAATAAAATAAAATAAATATAAATACTGGCTGCATCCCTATTTCTTGATCTGCCTTAGGACTGACCAGAAGCACGTCTGTTTTGTCTAGATTAAGTTTCCATTTTTTCACCCTCATCCAGTCCATAACTGATACCAGGCCTTAATCTAGAGCTGAAACAGCTTCCTTAGATTTAGGTGGGAAGGAGATGTAAAGTTAGGTGTCATCGGCATACCGGTGACACCGAACCTCAAATTCCAGATAATCTCTCTCAGAGGTTTCATGTAGATGTTAAATAACCTGGGAGACAAAACAGAACCCTGGGGGATTCCACAGGTCAGCGGACAAAGATCTGAACAGGAGTCCCCCATCACCACCTTCTGAGTTCTCCTCCAGAAAGGAATAGGGCTACTGTAAAACAGTGCCCCCAAGTTCCATTCCAGATAGTCTTATAAAGTCCTGGGAAAGTTGCAAAATTGGTCTAGGATTACAACTTTAAGTAGCCATGTGATCCATTCATAGAAAGAACATTCTGAATTGTTTCAAGCATATGCTTAACACCCCCCGTTGAATTTACTGAAACGTGCAGCACAGTCTTGACATATATCTATGAAAAAAAATGGAATGTTAACTCACATTCCATTCAGTGCCGATTGCTCTGCAATTAGTAATTGTTATGTGCTACCAAGTTGCTTCCAACTTATAGTGACTCTTCCCAGGATTTCCTAGGTATAGAGTACTCAGACGTGGTTTGCCATTCCCTTCTTTTGAGAGTACTCTGGAAATGTGCAGCTTGCCCAAGGCCACACAGTCTGGCTCTTCTACTGAGATGCACAGTGGAGAACTGAACTCCCAACCGTATGCTGAATTCACTTAGCTAACCAACTAGCCTTGCTTCATGGTAAGTGGATATACAATTATAACTCAATGCATTCAAAATGAAAGCACACTGATTAAATGATAACTAGAAGATTCAGGTGGAGGGTAGACAGAAAGATCCTGGCTCCAGCTTCCTCCATAAGTCCACTTCTGTAAAGAGAACATGGCTGGTAGCACCAAGCTTCACCCTCAAGACAGAATCTTTTTTTCCTCAAAGAGTGGTTTGAAGTTAGAATAAAGAAGTGTTGGACTCAAGGGGTACAAAATCTACCACAGTGCCTTGAACAAGAAACGGTGCTGCTAAAACAAGTCTGGGCAGTTTTACTCACATCTGAATTTATTAAACATTGATACATTTAAAAAAGTATAAAATCCAGTAACAAAGTTGGGTCAATCTTTATTGTAACACTGAGTCATAGAATAACTGAGTTAGAAGGAGCTCTCAAGGCCACTGAGTCCAACCCCCTGCTCAAGGCAGGAGTCCAAGTCAAAGTAGATTCAACAGACGATTGTCCAATTTTCTCTTAAATGCCCCCAGTGTTGGGAATGCTCCCCACCTCCCAAGGTAATTGGTTCCATTTTTGTACTGCACTGTTAGGATTTTTTTTCTGATATTCAGCCTAAATCTGGCTTCCTGTAGCCAAACTTTAAAAAACAGACTGTATAAAAAAACATACAAGATTTTAAGTCCCACAAGACCCTACTGTCACCGCCCATCTTAAATAAAAGGTGCATTGGACTCAAAAATTCACCTGTGTTCAGTATTGTAGTGTCCAGTCATATTATCCATCTTTGTTTCTGGATTTTAAATCTCATGTATTTTGAAGGAAAAATCATTTCCCCCCTTCCTTTCTCCCTAATACATATATTACATATATTACATACTGTATATACTCAATAAAACCCTGTCTTTAAACTGTTAATGCTTTGGAGGTGAGTAGCCGAATCTCACTCAGAGAAGTAGCTGACCAAGGAAACACACTCACTTCCATTCTCTTGTTAAGTGCACAGAATTGTGTGGGCTTCACTCATGCCTTCTACGTGATATAAACAATTAACAACTCATGTGTGCCTCATCAAGAAGTAAATTTTTCTGCTATAAGCCATTTCCACAATCTAAGAAGTTTATGATTTCTAGAAAGGATGTTTAGATACTTTTGTTATTACAGTGCAAATAAAGCAATACAGTTCATTGTGTGATGAAAATAAAAGAAAATGACAAGGCTTAAGCACTTTTGAACTGAAGTGGTTAAAAAGAACAAAGTAAAGTCTAGACTTGCAAGATGTCTGAAAGACCAAACACTACAGTGCCCCTTGCCTCTGCAGAGAAACAGCATGTTTAAAGAGCAATACAGAATGGAAAGTATGTTTCCTCTCTCTCTCTCTCTCTCTCTCTCTCTCTCTCTCTCACACACACACACACACACACATACACACACACACACACACACACACACACACACACACACAAAAGATATGAGAAGATGTGCATGGTCAGGAATATAGATGAATGGAAAAGAAACCAGATAACAGGAAACAAAACTGCAAACTAAGTAACTGATATACTCATGACATGATAGCAACTAGAATAGTGACATTCAACGTGACCCATGTTCTGAGTACAAATTTGTTTTCCTCTCTACAGTATAGATTTTATTAACACCACCAGTGACTTCAACACATATCAGTAATAGGTTTGGGGAAAATTCTATGGCAAGAAAAAGTAAATATGGAGTCTGAATGGGAAAGATAGAATATGTGAAATTCAAATATTCTATGCCTAAATATTCTATAAAGAAGGTTGCCCAAATACGGTGTTATGGAAGTTTCTCCAAAGGAGGATTTTCCTGGCTGGGAGATCTCTCAGTTAATATCTGGCTTGTACACCAGATGTCTCATGCTTGCTGTTGGGACAAGCTGGCATTGCTTACTCAAGAGAGAGGTAAAGTTCTGCATCCTGATGTTTTGACTAACTCAAAACATCAAAAGTATTTAAATAGAATTCCCTTCCATGTTTATGAGAGCATCTCCCAGAGCACATCTCCCAAGAACCACAGCCCCCTGCTTTTTGAGAACAAGTGGAAAGATGCAGATGGATTGAGGGCGGTCAGGAGAGATGGGAATAACATAGATAAAGGCTGAGAAGGCTGGGTGAACTTTTCTCTTTTTAGAGAAAAAATTTTTTTTCTGTGTTATTAATATGCTTAGAAATAAGTAGTGCTTTTGATCTTGTATATTTTTACTTTTAGAAGTTTAAATACTTTTTCATGATTGTCATTGAAAAAGATTAGGCTTTTGGCTTTTTGTGATTTTAATCTTAAGGACTTCGATGTGTCATAGAGATGTAACCTCTGCCTTTATAGGCTATGAGCTCCTGTGTTTTAATGGTTTTTTTTTTTTTTTTGGCATTTTTGATTCAAGCATGAGTAAAGTTTTGTCAGGATTTTGCATAGCTATAAGCTTACAACTGATATTTTCTTACTAAATTAATTTCAAAGCTTAAGCTCAGTTTTTGTGGAATTTTAACTATTTTAAGCCTCTTGTTTGTATGACTTTTGAATTTAAGCATATGTGCCTACAGTTTTTTCTCCATAACTGTAAGATTATCTTGGATAACTTTTGAATTTGCTGCTTTTAAGCATGGAACCTAGAAATGATGTAAATAAATGGAACTTATATAGAATCAACAAGTTCTGGAGTGGCCTGGAATTATTTCAGCAATGAAGACACTTATAATAATATACCCAGATGAATTTACAAACAGCTTGTAACTGATCATTTGGTTTTATACTGGTATTAACTATCTTCTGGGACAATGTCAGCTATGATGAATCATAGAACCTGTTCTCTTTATCTGAGTGATTTCTTATTCTTGTAGGACTCCTAGAGTGGTCAGTTATCTAAATCAGGATCTGACACACTGATCTATGTGTGTCCACAGATCACATGTTATTGTAACCCAGCCAAGATGGCATCAGGATAGTATTGCTAACCAAACTATCCCTGACATGGGAACTTCTTGATCTGGTTCCCCAAGTTTGTTATGATTTGTTCCTACTATGTAGATGGCATGATTTGAGCTAATTACATTCCTGCCCTCTCCGTTTTCTGCAGATCCTAATTTTCTTCAATAAACTCCACATATTATGAAATCCATATTTCTGTGTCAGGTTGTGTTTAATTCTCTCTCTCCCCAGATATCCCAAAAGAGTTGGTTCTTGCCAGCGTAAACGCACCTACATTTTTAAAACACAAGGTAACTAGTTCCATTTTTGTACTGCTCCAATAGTTAGGATGTTTTTCAGCCTAAAACTGGCTTCCTGTAGCCAGATTTTTTAAAAAACAGACTGTAAAAAAACAGACAAGGTTTTAAGTCCCACAAGACTCTAATTTCGTTTCTGGATTTTAAATCTCATGTATTTTTAAGGACTAATATATTACTATTGTCTCCAGGGGTTTTATCACTACATCATTTATTTTAAAAAGTCTAATAGCTTGAGCAAAGGATAGGCCTCAAGGTGCCTCACAGAAGCTTCCAGGAGAGCCTTTAAAAAGAGGAAGGAGGCTGTTTCCCTGAAACAGAGAAACAGGTGTCCTGCAACCAAATGTTCTTTACAAATGTAAAAACTGACTCAATATTTTGAGCGGTAACGTTTCTATTTTACCAACTTATGCAATCTCAAAGTAATATTGGTGCATCTTGTAGCCATGAGCTATCAAGAACCATTAAGTATAAACTTTTTTTTTCAAATCATAAATATTTTCAGGGAAATTAAAGAAAAAGAGAAAGATGGACACCATCAAATACCCTGTTTGTGTTACTTTTTTAAAATGTTTTTTTTTTAATGTTCTATTTTTCGCAGAATTTAGTTTTGCTTCTGAAGACACAAATAAGAAAGGAGAGGAGATGGAAGTGCCTACCTCATCTTGTGATCCAGAAATGAACTTCTTTCTACTTCTGACCATTTTCTTTATAACTCTACCCATTAATAATGTGAGAACTGGTAAGAACCCTGTGTGCAGCTTTGTAAAAATGTACTGGTTCCTGGCTGAAAATGTTTATTCTTAGCAGATGAAAGAAAAGAAGTACTATAGCTGCACGTTAGTGCAGCAATGTTATTGCTCAGCAGGGAAAAAGAAAATTCTACAAGGCAGTTCTGAAAATTGGGGGCAGCCCAAACATAAAAATTATAGCTTTGAAACTGGACTTCAGATCGGCACCAAATTTGGCATACAGATAGCAGAGCGTCTGCTCTTGCGCTGTGCCAGAGGGTCTACATCAGGGGTGGGTAACTTCAGCAGGTCCAGGGGCAGTAATGTCCTATACTGCTGGCCACAGTAATGAAAAATGAAAAACAAAAAAAAATGCCCCCCCCAAAAGGGAACTTGCTTCCTTTCAGTTTTCTAAAAATGGGGTGAGGTGGGGGTGTTAAATGCTGCAGGATGAGGGGGAGGGCTGTGAACAGCTACTACTGGAGGGATCTGAGAGCAGCCGTTCACCTTTTTTTTCTGTTGAGAAGCTTTTTGGGAGGAGGGGAGCAGAGTCTGATGGGCCTAAGGGCTACAGAAAGCAGCTGGGAGGTGTGCATGTGATCCCAGGGCCCCTTTCTGTCCGCACCTCATCTAAATTTGTGTTAGTCTCAACTACCGCAGTTTCCACTAAATTCATGTGGATCATTTCAGAGGGCCTGACGGTGGTTTTCTACCACTCCTGGACTGCCCATCCGAGGTCTGTATGAGCTCTAATACAAATAACATAATGGATAAAATTCAAGGAGCCTGTCTTTACAACCAAGTTCTTGTTATGTTATTTAAAAAAGCAATTTCTTGAGGGAAAGAATCCAGAGTGTATTGCAGTCACTCAGAGGGCCCTTTCACTTGCCCTCATCACCTAGTGTTGCCATCATCTAGTTCTCCAAACCCACTTTTCCTCATCAAGCATATAGGCTCAAATAGAGGGTGTGGCATTCAGCTCTGCTCTCACCTGTCCATCATAGCTGGGCAGGGGAACCTCAGCCAAAGAGAGGATGGAGGGAGGTGCAGAAGTGGAAGGAGCTGGGTTATATAAGGTGTGTGTGGAGTTTTGGGGGAGGAGAGTTTTTGAGAGATGAGTGATTGAGAGAGTGAGAAAGAGCCTGTCAGTGAGGGAAAAGTCCGTGTGAGCTAGGGTCTGAGAAACAGTGATTAACTAATTGATTTTACACCTGTGATTTACCCTTTTTATTTCTTGTAATCAATAAACCTTTTATTTGTTTGAAAGAAACCCTTGTCCTTTTGATTATAATGATAGGTTGGTGGCAGCAAGTTTTTAGTGAGAGGTAGTGACCACTCTTATAGGCCTGGATGAGTAAGGGCTTGAGAGTGGCCTGCTACAGAGGGGCATTTATCCCACTGTTTGATACACTACGAAGGTGAATTGATAGACTAAATGAAGCCATCCCCAGAGTGCCCTTACCCGCACCTTTTTGAGCTCCTGCCAAAGGCTTCTAGTTTTTGGTACAGATAGGTGCACTCTGGTTTCCTCTATTTCCAGCACATGTGATTGCTGGGAATGACCAATATTGAGTTGTGCAGCTCTCAAAACTGCCAAAGCTCCTTCGGTTGTCTATTTCCAGTATCATGAAGTAGTTTAATAAGTTAGCCACTAGAGAATATTGGCAAATTGAACACATTCCCTAGTCCTCTGCAGAAGATAGGGGAAGCAAAATTATTATTTTCTGCTAGATTATCACTGATGCATTGAATCGCTTGGATTAAATAAAAACTATATATACTTGCATTTGTTTGAAGTGCCAATAGGAACCACAGCTGTGAGCAGTTTCTCAATCAGCATTACACACAAAGCAGAGAAAAATATTTTGCAAAATTTAATCTAAGTCAGTGGTCCCCAACCTTTTCTGAACTGCTGAGTGGTTGGCAGGGTGGGATCTGTGTGTGTGGGGGGGGGTTGGGCACCACCCTCACGCTCGTGGGGGTGGGGTGGGCTTGCACGCATGTGCGGATGGGCAGGGTGCACTCACAGATGGGTGGGGTGCGCTTGCGAGTGTGGAGGGCACCCATGCATGCAGGTGGGCAGGCCATGCATGTGGGTGGGCTGTGTAGGGGGAGTGCGTGTAGGATGGGCGGGAGATCTTTCTCCATGGCCTGGTCCTGCCATGTTCACGAACCGGTAGTGGGCCATGGACCGGGGGTTGGGGACCCTTGATCTAAGTGATTCAGTGCATCAGCAACAGTAGCTTGCGAGTGTGGAGGGCACCCATGCATGCAGGTGGGCAGGCCATGCATGTGGGTGGGCTGTGTAGGGGGAGTGCGTGTAGGATGGGCGGGAGATCTTTCTCCATGGCCTGGTCCTGCCATGTTCACGAACCGGTAGTGGGCCATGGACCGGGGGTTGGGGACCCTTGATCTAAGTGATTCAGTGCATCAGCAACAGTATAGCAGTGAGAGAAATTATTTCATTACTCCTGTCCGTCTGCAGAGGAAGTGTTCAAATTGCTGATATCCTGAAGTGGCTCATTTAGCCATTTCATGATACCAGAAACAGGATCTCCTGAGGTCAGTATACCATTTTTGTGTGGGGATTGCACCAAAAGCCATATCACTCCTCCCCTCAACCTCAAGTGACCACGTCACCTCTTTGAACTATTAGCAGACTGTCCTGCTGCACAGTCATACTTGTGATGATTCCCTGCAACTTGCAAGGGTTTATACAGGAATGAGTTCCAAAGGTGGTTGCCTCCATATGGAGTGGTATGGACCGACACAATTCTGAAAATCTCATCTTTAATTCTAATGTCTGAGAGAGAAAATCCCACAAACGACATATTTCCATCCCTTGCAGTAAAAGTACCATCTTAAATAATCAAATAATGTAACCATTTGATACCTTTTTGAGACACCAAAAACCTCACCGTATCTAAGGACGAGGCTAACCCTGATGCATTCAACTCTAATGGCTTAATTTTTTCAAGGCATTTTTGTGATGATTTGTTCTGTGTCCTGCACTTTTCGCAGTCCAGTTAACAGTGAACGGACCACTCCAGCCAATCACTGCCTCCTTGAGTGGTGATATTGTGCTACGCTGTCATCTGTCGCCCAGAAACAGTGCTCAAAATATGGAGATTAAATGGTTCCGCTCCCAGAACTCTTCATATGTGCACCTTTATCACAGTGGCAAAGATCATTTTGAAAAGCAGCAGCCAGAATATCACGGGAGGACAGAGCTTTTGAAAGATGGCATTGATGATGGAAACATTAGCCTACGAATTCTTAATGTCAGTGTTTTTGATGAGGGACAGTACCATTGCTCTGTGAAGAATGGAAGTTTTCATCAGGAAGTCACATTGAACATGAATGTCACTGGTAAGTGAGAAATGTTTTTTTTTCCTGCTTGAATTATATAATTCTTTCTCTAACACTTGGAGTTGTCATCTCATAAGACGCTTTGCAACCATGTATTTAAGATTTTGACCCAAAATTGGAAAAAGTCAGATTATCTCCAGGAGTCCCTTCTTCACAGCATTTTTTTCCACATCCCTTCTTGATGTTTGGAAGGGATAAGAGCTCTCAACTCCACTTGGCTACAACTTTCCTAATACTGACCCAGCATGGCTAAGTGCTTGTTTTGACATATAAAGCCCTAAACAGCTTGGGCTCTGGATACTTGAAGGACCGCCTCCTTCCATATGAACCTACCCGGCAGTTAAGATCTAGCCAGGGGGCCCTTTTGAAAGAGCCGACCCTCAAGGAGGCAAGAGGGAGGGATTGTAGACAAAGGGCCTTTTCGGCAGCTGCCCCCAGACTATGGAATGCCCTCCCGACTGAGATTCGTCTGGCGCCGACACTGATGACATTTCGGTGCCAGGTCAAAACCTTCCTGGGTCTGATGGCAATTTTTAGAGTATATATTTTAATTGCATTTTACTTGTTTTGACTTTTTATAGTATTTTAAATGTTGTAAGCCGCCCAGAGACTGTTGGGTAGTGCGGGCGGCATATAAGTTAAATAAATAAATAAATAAATAAATAAATAAATAAATAAATAAATAAATAAATAAATAAATAAATAAATAAATAAATGTTAAGAAAACTG